CCTATCCCCTGTGTGCCTTGGCCGGCCATAAGCTTAGTCTCGAAAGCTTATCGGACGGTTCCCTCGTACGCGGTGCACGTGGGTCTTATCGGACGGTCACGCGGTGAAGCAGTAACCTGGACACGTGGCGTGTGGTGATTCAATAAGTCGATAGCGTATAATAACGGACGATGCGCGGCCGCGAGTTCAGCGCGCAGCCGGGAGTCGGTGCGCAGTCGTGCCGTTACATTCCGCCCCCGCGGCCGCCGTTCCCTGCTCCCGGTCCCCTGCCTCCCGAGCTGTTCCTTCGCTGATGGGGGCAAGTGCTCCTGTAATGCCCCAGCTCACCGCAATTGTGGCATGCCCCGGAGCCGCCCGGGGGAGCCACGGGGGCCGCTGCCACCAGGTGCACTGGTTCTGGGACCGTGGCCGCGTGCGCCCCTGCCGGCTTGCTGCTCCACCTCAGCCTGCCTGCGTCAGCTGGCTTGGGAGCCAGCTCCCTCGCTATTTTCAAGCGAGCATTGATCGCTGACACCCGGAGAGCAGCCTCGTACACCTCTTCCAAGGTGTATGCCCCCCCCGCCTGCTTGGTGGCTGCAAGCGCCTGTGAGCTAGTCTGTTCCGCGAGGCGCCTGTCAAGGCTCGTGACGAACTTCGTCACCAACTCTTGGTCACCCTCGGGCTTTTCCAAGTCCAGGGCGAGCCCCTGCAGCCTGAACAGCAGCGACGGCAGCTCTTCCCCCGGCTCGCGCCTAAATTGCACCCACTCCTGCGCCCTCCCCTCCTTGTGATCCTCGAAGTGCCGCTTCAAGGACGACAAGAGCGCCGCCACCGGATCCGACTCCCTGCAGTGCGCCTCATATTCCCTTTCATGAGCCAGCTTTGCAGGGTTGTCCAAGAATTCGCCCAGGTAGATGCAGTACTTCCCGTTAAACTCCGGCCCCTCCACCGAATTCCCCACGTCTTTCTGCAACTTTTTGAACTTGTCACCCAGGCTCCCCTTGACCATCAATTCGAACTGCTTGATGGTCAACCCATCACCTTTCTTTCCCGAAAACCTCTGGCGCCCCTCCGCACCTGCACCAGACGCCATCTCGACTGCCTCAAGATCCTCCCACCAGCCCCCCTGGTCAGCTTGCGCCCCTACTTCTTCCCTCTCTTCTGCCGCCAACTCCTCGCCCTCAAACCCAGCACCCTCTCCCCTAACTGGAACCGCTTCCACCACCGCCCGATAACGCGCAGCCAACTGAGACCTGGTCTCCACCGTCATAGGACGCGCTCACCCTCCGGAACCCTCTCACGCCTCCTCTACTTCCCGGCCACCGCTCCCAGTCAGCCCGTTCCTCGCTCACGAGTTCCTCTAGCGAATCCTCACCCAAGAGGACTAGCCACCTCAGCCGCCTGCACACGTGCCACAGCGCCACCCAGCGGTAACAAGCACCCACCGACGCTTTCCTCGCAATCAAGTCCAGCAAGTCCCTTGGCAAATCCAGCAACTGAGTGCCGGCGCCCTCGCCCGCCAGCTTCAATCCAACTCAGCGATTGCCCCTTCCCTGAACAGCTCTCTCAGCTGGGCGCCTGTCCCCGCCGCCTGCTCGCTCTCCCAGCGCTCCCGCGCCCCGTCAACCCAGCACCAATGGCAGGACTGCTCCCGCGCCGGCCGCGCTCCCCACGCCCTCGCTGGCTCCGACCTGTCCGCAACCTCAAACCCTGTGAACGCCTCGTCGGTCTCGGGGGCGTCACAAATGACACACTCGGTCAGGCACCCGCTCTGAGACTGTGGCCAATGATCCAATGATCGGCAGGATCCACTTCCAACCCCAGCCTCTCTGCTGCTTCCTGGTTGTTTGCCAGAAAGTTTACCCACAACTTCTCCCCAGGCAACCCAACCCACTCAGCTGCGAAGGCTTCCCACCTCTGCAGGAACACTCCCCAAGCCACAGCTTCGTCACGGTCCATGCACTGCTGCCGTCACCTGAGGCTGCGCTTCCAGGCCAAGGCAAAGAGGGTATTTCACAAGGCTATCGTACGCAACCAATACTTGTCTCGAATAAATCGAGCTCAGTAAAGGAGGCCTGGCAGGCACGGTCACCCGCCGCCAGGCACTAAGCCGGAGCTTTACGCGCACGAGCCCCCCCTAATACCCATCAGCGAGACCACCCCTAGCCTTAGATAAGACCGAGTGACCTGCCTTCCTAGAGCACCTCAAAGGCAACAGACACTGCTTTGCACGCCACCACTGCCAGCAGTTATGCCACCAGGTCAAAGCAAAGGGGGAACTCCACAAGGCTTACGTGGCGACCAGCACTTCTCGAATAATCGAGCTCAGTGCTGGGCCCCGGCAGGGACGGTCTTCCGCCGCCAGGACATAGGCCGGAGCCTTTACACGCACGCAGCCCCCCCTAATACCTATCAGCGAGAGCGCCCCTAGCCCGGATAGGACCGAGCGCCCTGCCTCCCAGGTGCACCTCAGCTACAAGAGCCTGACGCCCTTGCACCGACCTGGCAATAGTGACCCGTTACCGTTCTTTTCCCTACCGCGCAACCTGGCGCCACGCACCAGCCTCACAGGCCGTAACCCGGGCTGCCCTCAAGACTGCCCGCCCCACCGCTCTCAGCGGACCAACCCCGCACCTCGCTGTGCGTCCTCAGTCACCCCCTCCAGTCTACAACCACGAAACCCTTGATTCTTTCTTCTGTGAATGACTTGCGCCGCATTCCACGCATCACAGAAGGATCATGGGTGTGACTGGGGTACACAATAACACTCCGCATACACCATGCTTACATGAAACTTTCCTTCAGGCCACCGATGAGCTGTCAAGAGCATCCCGCAGTATCGCCCTTACTTACAGCCTTGGATTGAACAGAAGAAAGAATGAAGCTTCATTCTTTCACATGTCACTCTTGCCTGCACTCCTAGCCTAGGCCTGGCTCACTGCCTGCACTACTGGCATATGTCTACCAAATTAATTCATGGGTCAATAACTAGATCGGATACGAATCGCTTGCGACACAATCTGGCATGACACTAGCATGACTTGCTAATGTTTCGGTTTCTGTCGATTGATGCACAATTCCACTAACCAACTGAGCCTGAGCTTGCTCAGGCATCTTGCCTAGAGTTGCAAACAATGTACGGTCCGTTCTGGTCAAAATCTTGGCCACAAAACACGTTTAAGGTGAGCGCAAATGCGCTTGTTGTTAGTCTTGTCAAGCTACGAAAATTCGATCCTCCAGCTTCTAAAGTTCTGCCTTTGAGAAATTAAGAGCAAAATCCCCAAATGATCCGGAAAAGCCAGCGACCCGCAAGGATAAGTTAAAACACATGCAGCGCTCTCGACCTTCCACCGGCCGCAAAATGGTTCATGCAGCCTAGGTGCAGCTACTCTAACATTGTTGAGTGAGCTTCAAAATCAGAGGGCAGATTTGACTTTCTGGCTTTATGTGGCAACTAAGCGTATCAACTATGTAGAGCCTATAACGGATGGATGTATCCCCCTAACAGTCTGTCCCTGCAACTAGCACACACCCAAGCCAGCTGGCCCGCCTTGTTGTTGGGCTTGCAATCCCTAATAAATTTGACCGCACTCAACCCGAACTGGCCGGGCAAGTCGTCCCGGCCCACGCTGACGGCGGATAGCAGCTTCCGAGCCCGCGCTTGGGTGTCGACGCCCGGATCGGTCTCAACGTTCACGGTATCCGTCCCCTCTACAAACGCCACCAACGAGTCGACCTTTTTGTCCACCAGATCGACAATCTCCTTCGCGGTGTACCCGCGCACCACCGCGTCCAACGGCGTGCCCCCAAAGATCCCCTGTAGCGCCTCCACCCCCGGGATCAGCGTCCCCGCCCCCGGCGCCGCGATATTGACGCCGATCTTGGCGAAGACGACGAGCAGCTTCAGAGAGGTTTTCAGCCAGGGTGCCATTTCCCGCACCCACTCCTGCGTCACTTTCACCTCTTTCCCGGCCTCCTTTCCAGCCACCCTGTGGGGCACGATCTCGCCTTCGCACAGCACATGGAGCGCCAGCGTCTGCCGGAGGAAGCCGGTGCGGCCGGGGACCAGGTGCACGAAGCGGGGCAGGAAGTCTTTGGTCTCGAGAAACGTCTGCAGGGAGCGGAGCTTCTCAAGCAGCTCCTCCTGACCGCTCCGCAGTGCGCGGAACTCCCTCATCACCTCCACGTGATGCTGCGTGACCAGGCTGGTCAGCTCGTTCAGCTTCCCGTTCAACCTCATTGACATCAGCCTGATCGCGCGCAGCACCGGCGCGTTTGGCCCCGTTTGGTCGACCGCTTTGGCGGCTGACACCCCCTCTTCATCTGGATCGAGTTTTCCGCCCAGCACGAGGGCGGAGAGCTCCAGCGCACTCTGATGCGCCTTTTGCTGCCGGGTGAGGATGGTGCCCAGCTCCTCCTTCGTCAACAGTTTCGCCCCCAGGATCTCCCGTCCGAAGATGACGTCAGGCTTGCGGGCTACCTCCAGCTCAATCTCGGCCACCGACTTGCAGCGCGTGCTGGCAAGGACGTCTTCCGACGCGTCGGCGGCAAAAACAGCCTCCTCGAGCAACGTCACCCCCGGCAGGCGGCGCGCGCAGACCTCGATGACGTTGGTCACCAGCTCCGCCCACCACGTCCAGCACGTCTTCCTCCGCCCGGTGGTCGGCGACCGGCCGGGCGAGGATCTGGACGGACGGGTCGCCGCCAAAGTCCCGGTGGCGGACCAGGACGTGCACGCCGTCCGTGACAAAGCTCACGACGGACTGCGCAACCCGAAACTCGTTGCAGTCGGCCGTGTCGGCCGCGCCATACTTGGCGTGCCACTGGACCTGCGCAGGAGCGCAAGCAACTTTAGCTTCGGGGTCACGTATGCGAAGGTTGTTGCGCACCTGCCTAAACACCTGGTCTTCTTGATTCAACTAATATGTCCCTGTCGCTCGAACAAGTCGGAAGGACGGATTTTCAGTCGCAGCAAGGAGCCTGCACATTGTGGAGTATGGTGAAACTTGTTTCTGGTTGAGGTATCTCCAGATTCAGATCACAACTTGGATATCTGACGGTGCCATTGCGGCTGGCTGCATGAACTTATGGGTCTATATTTGTGCAGCAAAACGGCGCTTAACGGGGGACTTCTGCTCCTCTTGGCTCGTTCAGTCTCGGTCAAAACACATCAGCTTCTAAGAAGTCGACGTTGAAAGTGTTTGAAAATCTGAAGAACATTGCAAAGCGAGACGATTCACAATGTCAAAATCTGCTCAAAATCTCACCATTCAAGAGCGAAGCTTCTTATTTTGTAACGCATGCTACAGCAAATCTGGTTGAATTTGTGTATGCTTCACTCGTGCCACTAATAGAAGTTTGCATTGTTGGATTCGAGAAAGTGCTTCATAGCTTTCCGAAGCTCTGACGCAACCACAAGAAGAAGCAACTCAAAAGAGAGAAAGGATTGCTAAAAGGCAACAGCCAGCTTCATTTCGGATGTTGCATTTATTGCGCTGCTACTTGCGCAGATGGCTTGGCAACACAATCGAAGTGAGTGATCTGGACATTGAATACGGCTGTGGCTCTTAACGGATTCTGTCGCCAAGTTTAAGCCCAGGTTGTGATGCCATGAGAAATCCAATTTTCATTTAATGCATTCCAAAAGTTCTCTGAATTTCTGATGCACCAAAAGACAAGGATGAATTGGTAGCGGCTGAAAAGTCTTTGACGTACTCCCGGATTCAAGTTTTTTAATAAGAACACGTTGTAGTCAACAAACATGAGACCTACAATCAAATCATCCAGAAGTTTGATACGATATCACAGTCGCGCAACAATCGGAAGCGACTGACGACAGGGCAAAAGCCGCAAGTCCATGGCAGAAAGCTTACCTGCAGTAAGTAGAGGATGCTGACTGGGAGCAGTGTCAGCGAAGGGGCCGCTCCGTCTGCATGCGCAGCTGCCGTCGTGCTCGACGTGGATGCGTTAGCCGCGTCCTCGCTGGGCGCTGCGCACCGCAGCTGCCTCCCCACGACTTGACCGTCGCCCCGCCCAGAGCTTCCGGATGAGGGGTCTGCCCACGCCGTTTCCACAAGGGGCCGCGCCGGGAGGAACGGCGGGATCAGGACCGTTTTCTTGGTAGCATCCAACCAATAGCACAGCTCGAGGTCCACCAGCACGTCCATCAGCGTCTCCGCCGTAAACGCCGTGCTCTGGAGTATGCCCGCCCAGCATTTCGCAATCTCCTTGAGCTTGAGCTGGCCGTTGACCGCGAACCCGTCCCTCTTGCGCTTTTCGGGGTCCTTGTCGGACCAGAGCCTCTCTGGAAAGAGCAGCTCCCCGGCGACCTTACGCCCAAACCACTCCGAGTCGAGGATGACCAGCTGGTCAGAGTTGGGCCGGTGCGGCCTCTCAACGTAGACAATCTCGCCGACCTGGTGCAGGTACAACACGCCGGCCTTCAGGGCGCCCTAGTCCTCGTTCGGAAACAGGGCCTCTACCTCTGGCCATGTTGCAATGCGCAGGTTCGCCTTCAGTTTGGCCTCTCCCCTCAACGCCTCAAGCATTGTGTTTGCCAGCACTGGAACGCCCGGAATGTCTTTCAACAGTATCGTTAGATGGCCCTGCAGCTCGTCTCTGAGGCGGCTCGCTTGAAAAACGCTCGGCTTCTTTGCATCAAGAAAGAACGGCTCCGTTCCCCCGAGAAAGAGCACTCGTTCCCCGAATGTGACAGACAGCTCGCCCAGTAGCTGGCCCCACCAACCCTCACAAGCCCGCCCTTCTCTCTCGTTCACAATCACCTTCACAGCCCTGGCCATGCGGCTGCTGGACACCAGGTATTGCAGCCAGTAAATCAGCTGCGCCCTCGCCTTCAACGACGACACTTCCGTCCCATCACAGACAAGGACGAACACCGTGGCCTGGCTGGCTATCTCAGGGATGATGAAAGAATGCAACACTTGGTACTCTTCCTGACCCGCGCAGTCCACCAGCATCATAGTGTAATCCTCCCACTTCACCCGCTCCACCTCCCAACCCCTTGTTGAGGCCTCTGGCCTCAAATTTGACAGTCCCGCAGCCACCGTCTGCTCCTCTATGACACCACCAAACGAGCCTCCCGACTTGCCGCTTCCGATCATGGCCTCTCCCCTCTGCTTGCTGCCTGCCTTCTTGCCAGCCGCATCGCTCACTGAGTTATCCTCTGGTCGGAAGCACAACACCAACTTTGAGCGGAGTCCGGCGAGAAGGTTGCCTCTCTGCTTTGCTGCCTCCTTTCCCTTCACACCTCCGCTCTCATTGCCCCCAAGCTGTTTCTGCTCGCCCTGGTTCACCGCTGGGGGCCAAAGTGTCTTCCTCAATGTTGTCTTCCCCACCCGGCCCTCACCGCAAAGAAGGAGCTTTCCAGCAGAAGCAGCAGATAGCGCCTCACGGGCCAGGCCCAACAGCTGCCAGTTGCGGTCAAGTAGCAGCTCCGCCCTCGCCGCCATGCTCTTCTCAGGCCACTCATAAAATAAGATCAGGAGCTTTCTATTGCCCTCCAATGCATCCAGCAATTCGTGAGACAGCTCCTCTCCCAAGTGACTTGGGATCCCCATATATTGCAATCGCACGTTGGGGCTCTTCAAGACTTTCAGAATGTGCCGAAAGAATTCAGTGCTCATGGGGTACAGGGAAGGCGTGCTAAAGTCGATACCCCATAGCTTGGGGTATGCACCCTCTGCGATCCTCTCGCAAAGGGGTACCAAGGTACGATCGGGAGACTGGAAAAACTCCATGTCGGGCCAGCCAAAGTCTGGCTCTATCGGGAGGCGGGCCGGCCTTTTCTCCAGGAAAGTCAGATCCAAAACGATGCTGCGCATCACCCTCTCAGGTTTGATACGAGGTCTATAAAGATCTTCCGTTGTTAAAGTGAAGTGCGTGCCTTCCTCAATGAAAGTTTTTATACACCTCTGAAGATGCTGTGTGCCATCATTGCCTTCAAGCCGGAGCCCAGGTGCCCCACGAATTGCGTACACCTTTTGGTCTTCCCTGAGCTTCCGCCAATCTGCTGGCGCCAAAGTGGCCGCCATCTTTGTGCAAGAGAGAAACAAAAGTACTAATGCCAATGGCAACAGTACCGCCGAGGCGAAAGATTTGGCTTCCTGCCTAGACACCTAGCTGCAGAAGCTCTGTACAGATTCCATGGATACTTCTCTTAAAGCCCGTGCGTATCAAAGGCATGGGGCGTGTGCAGGTACAATGGCAGTGAAAGCCAGGTTCGCGTGGACATGTTCCTCGAACAAACTTTCTGACAAGCTCAGACCCTAGCAACCTAGACTGCGTATGCAAAATCCTTCGGTTGGGTCCAGGTACGTGAGTCGTCGAAGAAGCGTCGTCGGTCACACGTCCTTGCTAGTACCGGTAGCGGTGGCATCCAAAGATGGGCGGCACCTCGCACAAAAGGGGCCTAAGTAGTCACAGTGGACAACTCCCGAGGATTCACACTTTGCACGATTGAATGATCTCCGCAATAGTTGACAAGCAGCATCGGTCCGACAGCCGAGGCGCTAGCCTCTCGCTTCGGGATACTGGAAAACATTGCGTTTGTCGACAGATCGTTCGGCAAGTCAATCGCATCGCGGAACGCCATGCGTCCTATGCTTTAGTGAATCAAATATGTAGGCTCATGATGTTGTTGTTGTATATGGGGATCATAAGAGCTGCGTTATGATGCGTAGTATTATGGGAGGTGTTGCCAGGCCTGATGTTCATATTTTGTCATGTTGAGTTCATGAAGTTTGCTTTGTCACGGAACACGGCTCCTCAAAACTGGCTTTGCGGATTGATTTCTAGGTCGTGTACGTGCCTAGTATGATGCATCTATTAAGCGCCGCAGTGCTTCTTCATTCCTTGATTCAAGTTTACTATCTTGGGCATAAAGGCCCGTGCTCGTCTGCTTGAAGCGAATTTGATCAGCCATATTCCTCTCACCAATACAGCCATGCCACACTGTGACG